TTTCATTAAATAGCTAATTTAATCTATTAGAGCATGCCAGATAAAGTCACAAGGTATCTGCTGTATATCTGTTTTTTGCAATGGAAATTAAAATCAGGTTGGGGTGAGCATCCCAGGGTGGGCAGGTTCGTGGCTGACTTGGGCAGCCGGGAAAGAGTCTCGGAGCCTTTGGTAGAGCTGACGGGCCTTTGGTGCCGAAGCAGGGGACTGATACGGGGAGGCAGGAGGGGGGCTGGAAGCCTGGGAGCAATGGAGGCTCCCAGCCCCCTCGACGTCCAGACGCTTTCCCGACCTCTGCTCTCCTGACCTCTCTCCTTAGTCACTGTCTTGGCCCAGGGCTCTGTATTTACAATGCATGCGTGTACCTCGTGCTCTCTGGCTTCCCAGCCCATGTCCATAATCATAGGGGGTGCCCTGTGCTGGGCACAGCACCCCTGCAATAATGCATTGTCATGTGTGGGCGTTGAAACCTCAGGTGGCGGCCGCAGAGGCCAGTGGTGGAAGCCTGAAAAGCCCGGCTCACTCCATTTTCCCAGCAGATCACAACTGGTCACGACACGTGGACCGACTGGCCCCTCGGGATGTCACCCTGGATTCCTGCCTCTCTGACGCCAGTGATGGGCGTCTGTGTGGCCTCATTCAAGTCACAGAGTGAGTCACCGAGCAAACGGAAACACCTTGGATCAATGCACAGGAATGCCGGCAGACCGCGGCCTTCCCTGCGCCCAGCACGGGCAGGCGTGTACCCCGGGGCACCCTCCCCAGGCCAAAGCCCAGGTCAGGGTGAGTACAGAGAACAGCCTGCTGGCCTGAAGGCCCTCATGTCCTCCAGGACCCCCACGCGCCGGGGCTCGGGGAACCTGTTGTCTAAGAACCTGGCATCTGTCCTGACTGCCCCCCAAGCCCAGAAGCAGGGGTGTCTACCAAAGCCACCCTGGTACTTCAGGAAGGTGCAGTGACTGATGTCTCCCTGTGGGTCCGGTGTGCCAGGTGGATGTGAGCGTCCCTGCCCTGACGTTCCCGAACTGCTCAGTGCGGCCCCAGCAGCTTGAAGCTGAACCGACAGCAGCCAGATGGGCCAGGCAGGGCAGGAGCAGGAGAGGCCATCCTCAGAGAATCAGGGAGGTGGCCCGGAGCCAGAGGGAGCTGGCAATGCCTCCCTGGCCTGGGGTGGGCCCTGGGCTCCAACTGCCTCCTTCCCCACCCCCTTCCACCCCCCCAAATCTTCCATTACACAGATAAAGAAACCGAGGCCGGTGAGGCCACCCCTCACCCGCTGGGTGAGGATTCACAAGACATTCACTGGGTAGAGCTCCCCATCGGGACGCTCTGAAGAGGCCAGTCGAGTCCGACTCAGGCACCGAGGCCAGACCCTGGGCGTCTGGACCCAGGCAGAAGCTGTGACAATGAACGGAAGTCTGATGCCTGGCCCCAGTGGCCAGGTGGGCTGGGAGCAGGGACGGGGAGCAGGAGGGCAGCTCCCGGGGCTCCCCGCCCCCCACCGGCGCCCCTCTGTCATGAGAAAGCAGCCAGGCAGGCTGGCCCCAAAGCAAGAGCCTCTTACTGAAAAGAACCTTGCGGATTTCAGAACTCTTCAGGAGGAGATGCCTCCCTGGCTCGGACCCGCTTCCTCCGCCTCCCTCCTCCCTCACTGACCCTTATGGAAAGTTACAAAGCCACCTGCGGAGCACACCCCTCTCCTGGCTTTTTTTTTTTTTTAGGGAAAAAGTAGGGTCCGTGCTGTGCTCTCGGGCCAGGACGCCAGAGGTCAGCGTGGTCCAGCAGGACAGGGCAGCGAGCCAGGCCAGCACCGCCTCAGGCCTGTTTTAAGGGGGTGTCAGAAACCCCCACGGAGGTGAATAATACAACTTACGGCAGAGTTGGAAGAAACAAAATGAATGCATTCACTGCTCCTGTCTTTGAGGGCGCTTTGATCTTGGTTTTTAATTTTTAACTTTAAATATACTTTATCTGGACACCAAGCAGTCTGCACTCCGTGCTCCCCAGCGCGCCTCCCTCCTCTCACTCAGTCCGCTGGACTTGACCCAAGTCTCATCCACAACTTCTTCCTGAATTTCCTCCCCTCCCTCCCCCCAATTATATCACACAGGTGATGACAACAGTGAGCACAGCAGCGAGTGTTTACTAAGCGCACAAGTGTTCACACGCATCCTCTCGGCTCTGAGGTCACTCTGGGCTCCGCTGTTATTAGATCCTCAGGTCCTTCCCCCAGCGAGGAGTCCCAAGCCTGGAGGGGCGAAGCGGGCCCCCGTGCCCAGCCTTCCGGTGGGTCTGTCTCAGGGCACCTGACCCTTTAGTCACCAGGCCCCTTTAAAGCAGGAAGGAGTTCAGAGGGGCGCCAATTTCTGGGGTCCTGCAGCGAGGGCCAGAATCCAGCACCCCTCCAAGGCGAGGTGTTAAACGAGTCTTGCGTGTCACGCCAGGATCGCAGAAAGCACTCGGTCCTCCTCCCTGCCCCTCCCTGCCTTTGGCTCCGCCCCGGCGCAGACTTGAAGTTGACTTTCTACGGGGGGATTCTTGTCCTGGGTGAGGGGGTCCCTGCCAGCAGAGCAGACCCCTGCACCACTGGCCTTTCTCCAGGCTCACACATGAAAACAACCCACAGCAGACGCATGGGGGGGGGGGGTAGCTGTGTTCTTTGCACCTGCCGCTCAC